TTTGTAACCTACCACTATTGTTTGCCCTATTGAGGTGTGCAAGAAGATCATTGAAGTCTTCCTGGTGGGCTAGCCAGTTGTCTTCCTGACTTGCCTTGGCTCCAACACCTATCAAGAGAAAACCAAAGCAGTTTTGATTTATGGTTGAGGAAGCGTTCTTGAATATAATTATGATTGATAAATTGTTATTATGTAGTAAAGATAGTATGCGCTCACTGATTGGACAAAAACTGTGCTTTATTAGTGAACGAAGCACAGTGCTGATGCCATCCATGCGCTAGATAGTGCTGCTAGATCCTACGACAGTTTTTCTTTTTCCGTAAATAAATTCAATACCAAAATAAAATTAGTAACTATATAATAAAACCAATAAAACAGCCTTTTCCATGGTCCATCTAGTAATAAAGCACTTAGGAAGCGCTGTAAGCACTCAAGAAGTGTTTATGCCACTTCCTGCATGCTTTTTTACTGAACGGAGCACTGAAATAGCTGTTTTATTTGTTAAATATAGTGCCTTATTTCATATGTATATAATGAAAAGGGGTTTTCAATTAGAATTTATGAGAGATTGTTAGTACAAGGAGAAGACAATGATGGTGGTCAATGCCATGGTTTATTAATGTCTTCAGTACATTAAGAAGATATAACTAGCTAAAGACTAGTGTGAGCTGCGTCAGTGTTTCTAATGAAACAGTAATGATAAAAAGGTAAATTATACACCGTGAAAAGTTGGAAAATCTTAGTAAGTTTTTTCATCTTTTCACAGTGTATAATTTACCTTTTTACATGTATTATTACTGTCGTTAGGACAGTGATTCTTTTACATCCCTCTGATATATTGGTTATTAATATTCTAGTATGTTTTCCTATTCTTCTTACCAAGGTTATTATTCTTCAAGGATACTTTAACATGGCTTGTAGACCCACTTTCATTAGCACCAAGGCCTTTACCAGCTGACCACCCCATCTTGGTCAACATCTGGTAACCAAACCGATCTGTATCTAAAATAATATCAAAATATTGGTTATTTTATTGGTGTAGAATCCCACACTAACCAGGGATTTAATTAGAAGTCGGTAGACGGGCAACTCCCACATCTATACAGTATATTTTCATATTTAATCTGCCCACTTTTGACATTTGGTGTCCCAATTGTGCCTGTAAATGAAGGTTTTATATTATTTTGAGTCACCTTACAATAATGGCAGGCCAAATTAGTTTTAACTCGATCATAAATCGTGGCCGGCAAGGCAAAGATTTTACCGGAAAAGTTACAATCTGGGCATATGTTGTCCGATGTCCGGCTATTATTTTAATCAAGCACCAATGTGAGGCTCTGAGGGCTCTTAGATCTCTCATTCTTTGTTTGCAATAGACGTCATAGCCGCTATGTTGGAAGAATTTGACAAAAGATTTTTCAATGAATTCTTTTGTTTTATCTTCCAACATGGCGGACATCCCTTTTGTTATTGTGCTTGGGATTGATTGCAAACCAACCTACCAAGAATAGCCAGTGTAGCAATGAGGTTGATATAAATATTTGAGTTATTTTATCTCCCAAATTAATAAGAGCCTTATAAGTACTTCATTTATTCATTCATTGACACATTTATATACTTTCTATTCAAATCTTAGTTATTTTACAACGTTTTAGCGGCGTTAGTACAAAGTTCATGAAATGTTACCACGTGTCTAGAAATAGTGAAGGATATATTTCTTAAAATTACGGTTAAATTTACAAAAATAGATCCAGAATACTTTCAATTACTATTAAATATTACTTACTGGTGCTCCAAGCTTTGTTCCTTGGATCGTGGCTCCATTTTTGCTTAGATTTTCTTTCGGCTAACATCGCCATCTTGGTTTACTAAAAGGTTTTGCAATATCCAATAACACAGGCAACCCAACATCAACCATCTTATGTTCCAAAGTAATAAGTATAAATATGATTATCAGGATGACAAATTTAAAAATAATAAAGACCTGAAAAGGAAATTTCAGTTAAAAATAGTATTTAAAAAGTAATTTTTCTGATAACGTTTCCTTGGATGTTTTTATTTGGCTGTGTTGGGATACCTGTGGTACCAGCGGTAAGATCGTAGAAGAGATGCGCTGTTGTTTTTCTGCGCAAACGTGGCGCATCTTTGAACAAGAAACAAAAAATGCCGAAGTAAGTCATTAAATTTGGTATTTTTTCCATCTTTTAAATCCTTTGCGCAACAAATTTATAGCCAGACCAAAGCATTAGGTATTCAGGTTGCTATCTTTCTAATTCTTTTATATTTTTTTGTGTTTTTCTTAGATATTATTGCGATTATTGTGATACATACCTAACTCATGACTCGGTAAGTTTGTGATAATTTATCTTTCTCAATTATTTGCATTTGTTTTCAAATATCCATAAATGGTTAGACCTTTGCTGAATGGCTCCGATAACCAAGTAAACTAGCCACTTTTGTAAAATTTCTCAACAAGAAACGTTTACCGGTCTTGCCTTGATCTTACACAGTGTTTAAGTTTCCTTAATATTTACTTGTTGTATTCAACACACCAACACAATCCCAACTAGTAACCACTAGTCATTCTTATTCACTTGTTGTATTCTACACACCAACACAGTCCCAACTAGTAACCACTAGTCATTCTTATTCACTTGTTGTGTCCAACACACCAACGCTGTCCCAACTAGTAACCAATAGTCATTCTTATTCACGTTTTGTATTCAACACACCAACACAGTCCCAACTAGTAACCACTAGTCATTCTTATTCAATTGTCATATTCAACACACCAACACAGTGCCAACTAGTAACCACTTGTCATTCTTATTCACTTGTTGTATTTAACGCATCAACACAGTCCCAACTATTAACCACTAGTCATTCTTATTCACTTGTTGTGTTCAACACATCAACACAGTCCCAACTAGTAACCACTAGTCATTCTTATTCACTTGTCGTATTCAACACACCAACACAGTCCCAACTAGTAACCACTAGTCATTCTTATTCACTTGTTGTATTCAACACACCAATGCAGTCCCAACTAGTAACCACTAGTCATTCTTATTCACTGGTTGTATTCAACACACCAACACAGTCTCAGCTAGTAACCACTAGTCATTCTTATTTTCTTGTGTATTCAACGCCCCAACACAGTCCCAACTAGTAACCACTAGTCATTCTTATTCACTTGTTATATTCAAGACATTAACACAGTCCCAACTAGTAACCACTAGTCATTAAAACTTATATTTTTATGTTTTACAACCACCACTCCCTGCATGGGGCTCTTCCGTGAGGTTCCCTCTGATCCACATGTACTACCACTACATTCTATATTTACAACATACAACCACTAGTCATTGTTACTCTCTCGAAATATAACCAAATTTGACTATTTATTTATTTTTGGTTTTGTTTAGCCTTCAGTAAGAAAGACCCATAATAACGGACGCAAACACAAAGAAAATGTCAAATTCTACTATCAAAAATGGATGGAAGAACAAGCTCAGACGTTAATTGATCAAACAAGTAAGCATTTTGATTTCATTAATACCACGAAAATCAGACATCAAAAGATGTTCTAACTGACTTCCAAAGATTGTATGTTTGTTGGCTAAAATGTCAGCGTTTGTCAATAGGCCCTTTGCAGTTAACGGTCACGTGTCTATACTGGAATGTGAAATTTTTATTTTTATATTAAATTGGTGATTCTTTTTAGCTATTTGTAAAGAACTGAATGAAGCGATGTGTATCCAGTGTGTTACGAAATGTAGTCTTATTACGATCTCTCGAAACAGGTTGTAGAAAGTTTGTTTGCAGTCCAGTAAATTTCACCCATGGGAATCAAAATGTTCATTCATTTGCTCTCCGTGAATTAATCAGCACGTGATTGCTTAGCTGCAAAGGGCCTATTTCAAATAAGACTGCCTTTTATGTTGACATTTTAGCCGACAAATACATACAGGTGATAGAACCTCTTGGGCCGGGGTTGGGATAGAGTTTGGGATGTCATAAACAGTGCTGCCAAATGGTCTAGAAATCAGCAAACTAACTTCAGACTAATCACTCTTTGGAAAAGTCACTGATAAAGCAATTAATTTCATATTAATTGGAGTAATAATGGTCCCAATATTTTGTATTTTAGCTGCTGCCTACCAAGCCACCTCACACAAGATGCCAAACATGCCTCCACCAGGAATGCCTCCGCCAGGAATGATGCCCCCTCCCCCTGGAATGATGATGCCTCCACCAGCTGGCATGCCTCCCCCTAGTGGTCTTCCCTTCCCACCCCCAGGAGGAATGCCTCCTCCACCTGGAGGTATGCGACCACCACCTGGCGTGCGCCCACCCATGGGGGACCTAAGGATGGGACCACCTCAGAACATGAATCAGCATCGACCACCACCAATGTCTTCCGCATCATGACAAAAAGTAATGCTCCCCTAGTGACAAACAGTCAACCTGTGATATCTTGTGTAAATAGACTGGAATATGAGTTCATATACTGTTATTGTACACTTGTTTCTTACAAAAAGAATCAGTTTGGAATAGTACTTAGGTGCAACTTAGGTGTTTTATTGCTGTGTGCTGATCGAGACGACAGTAGCAAGATATAAATCAGGCAAAACATTATCGCCAATCAAATGTGTTGCTAGAGTAGTTTCCCATGTAGAGTGAATTTAGTCTAACTGTTGAATAATTGACATCACCTCTAGATAAGTTATTACTATTTTAGTTGACTTCGTATGAATGTAAGATTTATGTACAAAAGGCTAAAAATAAGGGGAGAAAATGAAGATGTAATCAACTGTCTCTTCACTCATTCTCTGGTAAAGTAAACCCCCAGATTCGCATAACTGTTTGTTTGGAGCGTACTTAATATTTTAGGTGACGTCAACTAAATAGTTATCTAAATTAATATAACTATACATTCAACAGTGTGATTGAATACACTCTACCTACCTATAGTGTACTACGATTGACAACAGCGTATTGCCTGATTTCCATGTTGCTACCGTCGTCTCAATCATCTCACAGCAATAAAAAAAGTGATAATTTGATCAACATTGCATACAATTTGCATTAATTTTTTTTTGAAAAGTATGTAATAAATTATTAAAATTGTACAACACTGTCCACATCTTTTTTACACTTGGTTCTAGGGGCTTTCCCTTTAGAGTCTTTCAACTAAAGCTTCGTTAGGCCATTGGGAGTCCATTTTTATCCTAGTTTGCTGTATCTAATTATTGTAAGTAGAAATAAAGACAGGATACTTTTTAGTTATGAATAGACCATTTTGGAGTTGAAAAATTCCTGTTGTGTTCCTTGATTATAGACTCATTTATTTAGGGTTCTTCTCATCTTAGTGTCAAAATATTCACAAATACTAACGCAGGCATCCCAGACCTCCTACATATCCTATATTTCCTATAATTTGTATAGGATCCTATAAAGAGCCTATATTTAAAGAAAACCTATATTTCCTATAAACAGGACGACTGCCGATCGATACATTTATATTTTACACTGTTTTGCATATTTGGCGAAGGAAATGAAATGGCCCCCCCTTTTTTTTTGGTTCTGTTTTTTTTTTTTATGGCTTTTTAGTTCTACCAATTATTGCCTGTGCGCCCTCCCGATACCTGGTTACGCCACCGAAAAGCTATCTTAGCTCCTATAAAGTGCATACATTTTGGAAAAATTCCTATATTTTCCCATGCTTAGAACTTGCACAGCCTATATTTCCTATCAAATTTGTCTAAGAAGTGGCTGGGATGCCTGCTAACGGTAAAGTAAAGAATGCACAGCTTCAACAATACAAACACTTTGAAATTCCACGGACCTTCACTGGAACACGTGTGAATATTCTACATAAAATCGAGGATAAACCTGATGATTAGAGAACTCAAGTTGAAGTATTTTCTAAAGATTTGACAAGAGTTTAATGTATTCCCCCGTGGCGTTTCCCCCCAGTCTACATGTGTTTAGCATAAACCTACTACATAAGCATACTATCACAAATCCTGCAATCTGATTGGCTAACGTACTCACTATCTATCCTGTGATAGATAGCGAGTAGCGAAAAGCAAACTAATGCATGCTCAAGTTTCGTTGAAATCTCTGCTTGTTCTCTAAAAAATCTTTAAAAATCGATTGAAGAAAAGACAAGACTATCTATTGACTCGGAAAACTGCAGCAATGCAGCACTAGTGTTTGAAATATTTTCACCACTAGTGTTGAAATTCTTAAGGCCCCGTCCACACGTATATATATCCGAAAATTTTTGTATCCGCCAATTTTTTTTTTTTGCGCATACAAAAATGTTCGTGTCCACACGCAGCGTATTCGAATCGTTTTCACTGTCCACACGTATCCGGAAATTTCTTGATCCGCCCTGATGCACGCTAGTGCCTAGTCCCTTTGACGGATAGCTTTTCTTATTGAGCATGCGCGAAATCGTGTTTACGTCATCGAATTCGAAAATTTACGGATACGACCGTGCACACGTATCCGTGTTCGGAGCGTATTCGAAAATTTCCACTCTGGAGACCGTTTTCGAAAATTTCCGGATACGGATACAAAAATTTCCGGACACGTGTGGACGGAACCCGTATCCGCAAAAAAAAATTTGCGGATGCGAAAATTTCCGGATACGTGTGGACGGGGCCTAAATCTACATAACATTTGTTGCGGGTGTCCCAAAATGGCTAGAAGGATTTCTCATTCACTTTCCACCCATTTGCTTCATTTCTTTTCCTCTCTCCCCTACATTACTTACTTCTTATTTACTTCTATCTACTCATGTTTAACCTTGGACTTACCATGTCTCGAACCTGGGACCCTTTGCGTGATAGCCTAGTGATTCACCAACTATGCCAACGAGGAAATTTCTGACAAAGTTGGGTTGGATGTATATTTTATCAATTTTAACCCCATACGACTGCTCTACGTATATTAGAAATATAAAAACAAGATTTCAAAAACTCGTGCTTCGTGTTTTATTAGGATTTCCAAACACTCAAAAACAATAAAAGCACTCGGCATACGCCTCGTTTGAAGCAGTATTTCGCACTTGTACAAAGATGTTTTGTTGCATTTGTGTTAAAATGCAGCTTTGTCGGGCTTTATTATAGAAAATATATGGGAAATAAGCAAATGAAGGCCTAAACCTCATTTTCGAATAAAAGTTTTGCTTTGGGTTAACACTTTGATTCCACTTTCATCGGTCATCTCCACTTCCAAACAAGTTCAACTTTCTGAATAACAAGATTTTAGTCTTGTACAACAGCCTTTCTTCAAGAAAATAGTTTTTGGCGCTCACTGCTTGAATACGAAAAGAATTCTCTCTTAGACGTTTGAGTATTGTGCTAAGAGTTTGCTGATTGAGACTTGAGCATATATAGCAGGCATCCTAGACCTCCTACATATCCTATGTTTCCTATAATTTGTAAAGGATCCTATAAAGAGCCTATATTTAAAGAAAACCTCCTATATTTCCTATAAATAGGACGACTGCTGAGTGATACATTTACATTTTACACTGTTTATCATATTGGGCGTTTTTTTTATTTTTTGGTTCTGTCTTTTTTATGGCTTATTTGGTTCTGCAAATAAATCATTGCCTGTGCACCCTCCCTGCAAGATCCCTGGTTGCGCCACTGAAAAGCTATTTTAGCTCCTATAAAGTGCATCTATTTTTGGGAAAAACTCCAATATTTTCCTATATCTAGAACTTGCACAGCCTATATTTCCTATCAAATTTGTCTAAAAAGTGGCTGGGATGCCTGATATAGATATATTTTTATTTTTGGTAGGTTTTCCATTTGCGTCAATGCTTTTCCGTCCTTCCACATAATTTTAAATTCAAGTATTTACAAACAGTTCCGTTTATTTGTTTCTTTTCACTTCCAAGCTCAGTAGCTAATCCCATTCCTGCACGAACTTCACACTTTGATAAGATTTTTCTTTAAAAATCGCCGTTCTTTTGTTCCATATTTAGTAATTCTAATAGAAATAGAACTCCCTGTTTAAATGCTGAAGACAGGCCATAATAACAGCCGAGATAAACTTGCCATTATCGCTATTAGTCTTAAGCAGCAGTACAGCGACAAACGAGCTTCGAAAATGACAGCAAACCTTAATACCAACCTAAATTTTTCACAACAAGAATGTCCAGTTACTTTAGAATTTGATATTTCAAATTCCACGCGTTTTCCAAAGTCGGCCATTCCAACATGGATTGCCGTGAGCGTCATTAGCGGTGTCTTGGCCGTACCTACAGTTTGGATCAATCTGCTGGTGATTTGGACGATTCTCGAAAGTGAAAGCCTTAGATCCCTCAACTACAATCTTATACTTGCCATTCTGGCTCTGACCGATTTACTGGTAGGACTTGTGGTGAACTCTCTTTTCATTGCTTTCAATATCTGTGTTACGCTTGGGTGTGCGTCGGACTGCGATTTAACCACTACTTATTTAGTAGTCGTCGTGCTTTGCACTGGGTGGTCAATTGGTACGTTAATGATCGCCTCAGTCGAAAGATATCTGGCCATAGAGTATCCACTGTATTATGATACTAAAGTCAGCACCAGAAATCTATTGACCGCAGTTCCGGTAACCTGGCTGTTGGCGGTGATCACTTTGCTTTTCAGATTGATGTTCGATGATTCGTACAAAATAAAGCAAATACCATCGGTTCTGTATCTTGGTATCAACGTGAGTGTGATCTTCTACTGCATATCAAAAGTAAGCAAGACTGCCCATCGGCAGATGAAATCCATTAACGCTCAGCAAGTAGCATTGCAAGGGGCAAGCACCACCGCAGACAGAATCAAGGAATACAAACGAACTTTTGCATTAGCAAGTATAGTATTAATTTCGATTATCTTTTACTGTCCTTTTATCATTATTAAGGTCATCTTGTTAGCAAATGGGAAAGAATGGAACAGCGAGTTGAAATATGTGATCCCACCGATTTCCTTAGTTTTCGTTCACTTGCAATCTGTTGTTAATCCTATAGTTTACTCAATTCGCCTGTCATATATTCGAGTAGGTGTGGTGAAAAAACTGTTTTGTCGATCATAAGGCGCGGGAATCCGAATAGCGGTCGCTTACCTGCGTTTGCATTGCTACGCGATCACTCCAGACAAAAATCGCGAYGTGCACTTTGTTATAGACTGCCGTCAATCAAACACGTTGACATTATTTACACGCGTGTGTGATTCAAAAGGCGCCAAAACTTCGGTCGATTGTTTGCAAGTATTATGAGCCACATTCACCAGGCCTATCCGGGCCGATCCAAACGCGTGTATATGACGTCAACGTGTTTGATTGACGGCAGTCTATTGCAAAGTGCACGTCGCGATTTTTGTCTGGGGTGGCCGCGTAGCAATGCAAACGCCGTTTTAAAAAGGATCGACCATTAGATAATTGAAGGCGGAGTCAGTGCAGGAAGTTTACGTTGCAAGATATTAGTTGGATTTGACTAAAACAATTAGTCCTGGTCGCCCTCATGGCCTATGAGTCAATAGCATCCGGCTTTCAGCCTCATTGGCTATCGACTCATAGCCCATATTCATTCAAGATGTACATTGATTTGCTCTCAGTGAATAAATCAGGGCGTGCACTGCAAATGGCCTATTATTGTCTAAACGCAATCTCGTATCCATTTGTGATAATTATTCGGAATAATTTAACGACAAAAGGTACTGACCAAGAGGAACAGGGTTCTCGGTACGAGATTGGTCTAAACGGCGCGCCAAAAAAATGTATATTCCTTTGTTTTGTCTGCCTGTGGAGAAATAATGTAAAATGTTAGATGGGATCCCTGTGTTAACAGGTAGACCATCTAAACAGCGAGTGTGTAGAGATAAACATAAATATAATAATATAATAATAATTTAATCACTTGTTGTGCGCGCATTCCATACAACGATCATGCGCGCATTATAATAATAATATAATATAATATATATAACTATATGTAATGTTTAATAAACGAGCAGGAGTGTTTTATCGGGTATAAAACACGAGGCGTAGCCGAGTGGTTTTAGACCCGATAAAACACGATCTGCGAGTTTATTAAACGGCTTAGAAAACT